GGCCCCTGCACACCGATCGATATCATTCTCAGTCGAACGGAGAGCGACTCCCTGACACTTCACCCGGGACTCCGGTCGGAGGACGTGATATTTAAGAGATATTTCGTTTCGTTTTACCGTTTCGATATCACTAATAATGGAGAACGATGATCACGGACGGACAGCGACAACATCGACCCGATCGTCGGTCTACCAAAAAGACACCCAGAAGCGAGAAAAGGAAACGAGATATCCATATTAAACAGCGAAGATTTCGGATCGGAGGGGACGATCCAGAATCTCGATACTTTTTCACCAATATAAAACGTCCTCGCGGCCTGCGAACAACCGAAACGAGTCAAAGTCGAGGCCGGGCCAGCGCTCCGGGCGGAGAGTCGGAGCCCGGGCCGGTGGCGCGAGTACTCACATGGTGTCGACCCGCGCGAGGTGCACCAGCCGGCTGCGGCCCTTGCCCGCGGGCTGCGCCAGGTAGCGCGACGCCAGCACCACGCCGCGCGCGCCCCCCTCCGCGCCCCCGCCCCCGCCCCCGCCCGCCGCCACCGCCGCGTGCGCCACCGACGTCTCCGCCACCGCGCACCACCCGCCTCCGCCCCCGCCGCCGCCGCCCCCGCCGCCGCCCTGCTGCCACGACCTGTCGATGTTCGTTCGCTAGTTCGTTATTGCAAAACGTCGCTAGTTTATAGGCGAACGAGCACGCCCGCACCGGCCTTCCGACGCGCAACGGATTATATCAAAAAATCCTATGGGCAGTGGACGAGCACCTGGCGGCTCCGCTCCGCAGACAAAATAAAAATAAAATATGTTTTTCAGTTAAACAGTTTTGTACGAGTCGGTATGAACGTCGATCGGTCCGTCGTTTTGTTAAAAACGCCAGCTCAAATTTGAAACTGTATCACGCCCGGTTTTATTTATTTCGCTAATCGAGCCGCTCTCTTTCGCACCCGCATTGAAAAAGTTCGTATCGTCGCATCGAATTCACGACGAGACAAAATTCTAGACTCGCCTTCCCGGGTCTAACTGTGCACATTATGATCGCTCAAAAATAGCGAAATAATTAGTATAATAATTAGTGCCATAGTGAAATAATTAGTGACCTGAGCACGCAGTACTCCCTGGGCGGCAGGTTGATGCTCGACGCCGTCACGTAGTGGAACACCTCCGCGTTGGATCCGAGCTTCTCCACCACGCGCCACTTCACCAACGAGTCGTCCCATATGTGCCGCTCGCGGAGTATCCTGCACGTCATAGTAATTAACACGATCATTATCAGCCGTCCGACGACTCCCGCTAAACACAGGCCTCCTTTTTTTGAAGGTGTGTGTGTGTGGGGGTGTACCTCTGCATGAGCTCCTGGGGCGGCGCCTCCACGTCGGTGGTGGCGCGCCAGAGCCGCAGCGGATGCCCGTCCCCGACCTTCTTGCAGCACAACTCCACGTGCGCCGCCGCGCCCGACACCGACATCCAGCCGCGCGACCTAAGCAAACCACATGATTTTCAATTAGCTGTACAGAGTGCAAGAGCGTACCGAACGCTTTAGCCTGATTTTTTTGATAAAAGGTCGGACACCCTATTTTTTTACGGAGCAATGAAATGAAGCGCTTTTGTCATTCATATTATTTTTATTCGAGTGTTCTATTTATAGAACCGAATTACTCTGAAATCTTCTTAATATTCTCATCTTTAATGATCATTGTTTGCTATCCAACGATACGAAGGGAAATAGACACTATAAAAATAATAAAGCCTGGCCGTGTTCATCTTTATTCGATCTAGCGATGATACGCGCATTCGGAGATGACTCTATGAAAAAATTGCCGTACGCTCGTGACAGAAGCCGATAGGAGACTAACGTATCATCAGAATCGAGCAAATTCAGGCATCGGTATGAGTTAAGTACAAAAAGTCCTAATAATCGTTCAAGCGTCAGAGGCGGCGACATCATTAGACAAGTCATGATTTGACGGAATTATGATATGTCTAATATGTTGCCGCCTGCTAATATTAGTTTGATCGAAAAGTTATTTTCGTCCGAGGATTCGTCGACAAAAGTAAAAAGGGACAAAATACAAGAGTAAAGATGTTTGCGTCGTTTCCAAATTGAAATTAAAAATCTTATCTTATATTTTCCGATGAAATAAATAATATCTTGATCAATCAAAATCAAAAAAGAAAAATTGCCAGAGTTGCACATATGTGGCCAACACGTGTTGACAACATAAGAGCTGGCAATATTTCTTTGGTAAAAACCAACTTTATATAACTAATTTAATAATATTTAATTATATAAAATAACATAAAACATCTACATATTTGGAAAACACGAAAGAAAAAGGGAAACGAGTGACATCTCAGTTAACACCTAAGTGGCCAAACAATTTCTACGGATGCGATGAAGTGTAAACTGATTAATGTGAATGAGAGATAGACTCATACGTAGAAAACTCCTGATTTTCACTATGACAATATTTCAATATTACATTTACATGCTTATATACTGCTGATAGTTGACAAACTTGACAAATAAACAAAGTGAAAACCAGATTTATTACAAATAAATAAGGATCTATTTGCTGTTATCTAGATTTTATCACCCGAGCGGATTCTACATCGTTTTGCAGAAATTTCCTGCTCGAGGAGCAATAGCACACAAGAGTGAAAATCTGCATAACAGCGAAAAAGTTATAGTTATGATCGGCGACGTTCTAACACCGAATCTCACCTCTTTCCCGACCGGCCACAGACTCTAAAAGCATGAAACAAGTGACATGTAACTATAAGAAAACAGTTTCAATAGAATAGGAACTGAACTACAAACTGGCAAGGAGTGAAGTCTCCTAGTCGAAAGAAACTTAGGCGACGTTCCAAACTCACTTTTCTTTGGCTTCTTTTAGGAGTGCTTTTATACAGGCTTGCTGGAAACCTTTCCAATCCTGGTTGAAGTCTGCTCCTAATTCTTCTAACGCCACCTGTAAAACGTATAATACATATATCTGGACGAGAAATACTCAACTTGGGATACCTCGATTTTTATAATTTTCCACTTTCGTATCGTCCTGCAGTTTTGTTATTTTTGAGTTCGAGATCGGCAGCCACATATCAAAACTATTGTGATAGGGAACACCGTCGACACCACCGATAGTTATTTTCTATTAAATAATAAATCTATATTTTTTAGTTAATTGAATATATCTCGGGTCATAATACTGATCGATAATTTTATGCAAATAACCAGGTTATTTGCATAAAATTATCGATCAGTATTATTCTAGAGCGAACTCGATTGCCATTGACAGCAATTTTTTTTTTGCAAAAAGTGAATTCAAAATAACATCTAAGATCTCCGACTTGAAAAAACTATCAGAGATTTAAAAGCGGCAATAGGGTCGGATCGGATCAAAATAAGGCAGCGCATTTCAATGGAACGTTTTCTCTTCCGTCATCGCTTATTCGGTTCGGGCGCTAAAATTTTATATTATCTACCTCGTGAGGAAATATAACGTATAGGATAGAACAGGGGAGGTACCGGCACGCTCTCCTCGAAGTAGTTGAAGTTGCATCGGGCCAGCATGTCGGCGGGCGCCAGCAGCAGCGCGCGGTGGCGCGTGATGAGCAGCAGCAGGCACGCGTGCGCCGCGCGGCTCTCGCTCACCTGCCGCTGGTCCGCGCCCCCCGCGCCCCCCACGCCCCCCTCCGGCACGCTCCTGCGGCACGTGACATATACGTTGTTTTCATCTGCAGGGGCACCCATTACTATGGGCGTCCCTCAGGGATCGATATTAGGACCATTGCTTTTTCTAATTTACATTAATGATCTTCCTCACTTTACAAAGAATTTGTGCGAGACAGTAATATTTGCTGATGACACCTCTTTAGTGTTTAAAGTTAAGAGGGGTAATTATTGTTTTGACGATGTAAATGATGCTCTCGACAATGTTCTACAGTGGTTTGATAGTAATAATTTAAAGCTTAATTCAAATAAAATAAAATGCATAAAGTTTGCTTTACCTAACGTGAGGCATGTTAATACACTTGTAAATGTAAATAGTAAAAAAGTTGAGTTGGCGGAATCGACAAAGTTCCTTGGTATTACACTAGATTCCCGACAGCAATGTGATCCTCATATTGATTATTTGTCAAGTTGACTGAGTTCTGCAGCATTTGCTGTTAAGAAAATTAGACTCTTGACAAATGTTGAAACGGCAAGATTGGTATATTTTAGTTATTTTCATAGTGTAATGACGTATGGTCTATTGTTGTGGGGTTCTACGGAATACAAATGCTAGATTTGAGATATTTTTATACTACAAAAGAGACTTGTACGCTCTATATATAATTTACGGTATAGAGAATCTCTCAGAGAAATATTTAAATAATTATAAATATTTAAACTGTTGCCTCTCAATACATCTATGAAAATATTATGTACGCAAGAAAACATTACGATTCCTTTACAAAAAAAAAGTAGTGTTCATAATCTTGAACACAAGAAATAAAAATAAACTTGCCGTTCCAGGCTTCAGACTTCAGAAAACCAGAGGATCATTTCTGGGTAAATGCATTGCTATATTCAATAAAGTTCCACAAAATGTAGTTGACGTACCCATAAATAAATTTAAAATTCATGTAAAGAACGTAATTATGAGTAAAGGCTATTATAAAGTTGATGATTATTTTAAGGATCGCAATGCATGAAATTAATAGCTTTCGCTTTGTTCTATAAAGACTAATTGTATGTCCAACCTATGTCCTACAGACTTTGGAAGTTGTATTTATTATTGTGATAATACATAGTATTTTGGTAATGACATGATTTATGTAAACGTCATTACTTATGATAAAGAGCTGGTAAGTTTCTTTCGCTTCTTCTTCTTGTCAGCTAAAAGACGGCCTGAACAAGTAGTAGCGGAAAAAATATTAAGGACGATTTTAAAGTGCTTGTAATAGCCTTCTTGAATAAAGATATTTTCATATCATTTCATGAAAATATTTGAATTTTGTTTTCACACAGGAATCGCAAAGAGGTGCGACCTCCGTCTTCCGAGCTTTTCCTGCGCGCTATATCGGTATAGTATCGGGCACCTGTTGGAGTGGCCCTCCTTGGTGCTGCCCTGCGGCGGCGGCGCGTGGTGCAGGCGCAACAGCGTGGGCGCGAGGCACACGGCGAGGTTGGACGCCGTCATCTGGTTCACCGCCGCGTGCTCCGCCACCTGCCGTACATAGTACACGTACAATCAATGGAAAATACCGACAACCTCGCAGTTCCGATAAAAGACGCAGATAAAATATAATAACTAATAATAACCTAATATTTATTTTTGATATACGCTATGAAACATTTAGATTTTCATATCTACACGTTTGCTTAAAATACATCAAATTATATAATATTTAAAATGAAATAATCGAAGATTTCAAAATATATAGAATATAAAAATCTTCGATTTCTCTTTTTGGTATATTAACTCACGTCGGCGAGAAATACGAGCAGGGAATGTAAAGCTTCGAGGTGCTCTTCGGGTAACAGTAGCAACGCGCACTGGACGGCATCAGGCCTCAGCGGTTCCGGAACATCTATAAAAATAAAAATATACAACCTGTTAGCGGTAACGACATAACAATTAGAACGAAATCTGAAAATGTTAAATTGAAATACTCATTTAGCCATTTCATTTACCTACACATATATACAATTAATTTTCAAAAATGATAAAAAACATCAATGTGCAATTTCAGCACAAAAAACGAAAAGGCTATCTTTTTCACATATAGTATGTGTAATGAAAATCATCGTGATCGTGAAAAATCCACCAGAAATTTTCATAACTTTCAGAATGTAAACAAACAGTTTTACAAAAAATCTTTTATTTATTTATAGCTCTAAGCCTAGTTCTCTGGACAGGCAGACGAGCGGTTATTAAACGACTTTAAAGAAGAACTCAAATTAAATTAGTTATACTTTAGTATAACAAGGGAAATGCAGCTCCACGAGAAGCGGACCGACTCATATCGAACGGATAGAAGCGTGTGCTCACGTTGAAATATAGCGATGAAGGTTTCGCTGAGCTTGTTGGTGAGCAACGCGTCGGGTAGCTCACGGAAGTACTGCTTCACCATGTCCGCCACGTCGTGTGCCTGCGCGCCCGAGAACCACTCCCCCTCCTCCCCCGCCCCCGCGCCCCCGCCAACACCCCCGCCCCCGCCCGCGCCCGCCTCCCACGCCGCGCCCGCCGCCTCCACTGCGCTGCGCAACTTGGCAATGCGAGATTTCACTCCCGCCTTCCTGAATATGCCCATCTACAACAAAATGAAGCACTGCCGTTAATATCGATACTGACCGTGATCGTAATCACGAAACGCACCAACACTCTATGCGAGCCTTCGTTACCTGATCCAGTGCATTGTTCTTCAACCAGTGCAGGGCGCTCTGGATCGGTTTCGGTAAAGAATGCCCCGTCCTCTGCAGCGATACCGTCAACGGTACACCGAATACAGTTTTGTCTGTAGATAGAGAGATACGATACTGAATAAAACGGTTTATTTATTAAAACTGGTCTAGTGATCCGGCAATGATCCGATTTAATGTGAATTTGTGAATCCAGCTATGAATTTGACTCTGTAATAGGTAGGTTCCTTTTGAGTAGATTTATGTGCAAAAAATAAGCGATAACTTATTTGTCTGAAACTTTACAGACTAGCCGTTCACCTTTGTAGTCTGGCGTCTTGATCTTTCGTATCAGCTTGGGCAGTTCCCAGTTCCAGCCGGACTTGTGCGAGGGGCAGTACCGCTCCATGCACGCCGTCAGCCGCAGCAGTGCCAGTTTGCGCAACACGTGCAGCTGCCCGCACGACAGCGACGACATCGCCCGAGACACTGTACATACGAACACAATATATACCGATGGCGCAGCGTTTGGTCTGGGATTTCAGAAATGTAGCAACTCTTGCAGAATCCCCGAGTTCTTCTGTACTTCGGAAGGCACATTTAATCAATGGTTCGATCATATATCTACAATTGAAAATATTCACCAACCGTATTTAGCCCACAGTGTGATCCTTCCCGTTTTTATTTTAATAGGATTTTTTTTTTTATTTCAGTAGGGACATTAACAGGCGATTATATGTGGTGATTATATACAACATGGTGATTATAAACGAGTCCTTTGCCCGTGTACCTGCTCAGACTTCTTTTAACATGATGTGTTCGCCATGCTCATCAGAACTATAATAAAACCTAAAAGCTGCTAATATCAATATATCTTCTTTAACATTGGCCCTTTTACTCCAGACTGCAAGGATTCATTCTCCACGCTGGCTCAGTATGAATTGGAGGATATTAACGACTGCAAATGCAGCAGAGACCAATGGCGTAACGTATCTTACGAAGCACGGAGTAATTAAAGATAATAATATCTTGATCGCCCATCCTGTGAGCGACCCTTGCGAAAGTTGCTTAACAACAATGATCACGGTCCCGCGCTTATTCACTACGCCACCGAGCTACATATTATGTTCTAAATAGATCATAAATACAGTTAAAACCAATATATCTTTAGTTTATTATTACTCACTGTAAGCTTCAGGGTTCTTTTGGTTAGGTACTGTTGGTTGCAATGTATTATTGGCTTTCGGACCTCCGTTTAAAGCATTTGTTCGAAACGAGTACCATCTTTGAATGTTGTTTCTGAAATAAAAATTTAGAACATCACAGAATCAGTAAGTTTGGTAAATTCGAATACATAATGTTGCTTGTCATATCGTTTCCAATTTTGGCAAACAGGTCCTAGGAGCTAAATGAGGAATATATGAATATACATTCCTCATCTGGCTTCTGAACTGAATTTCAAATAGGTAGAACTTCCACTCATGAGAGAATATCAGTTGTTTGGGTGTAAATTAATGAATCTTTCTCGCAAAACCAAAAACATAAAATCGATGCTCACTTTTTAGTCCTAATATCCAGGCTATCGTCATCATCGTCCTGGTCTCCATCGTGCGACCTGGAACCAGCTGAGTGAGGGCTACCATCTAATTCGGAACTTCTTGAAGCAGATTTGTCCCTTTTTAGGCTTCGATCTCGAAATCTGAAAACGCATTACTTTTACTTTACTCAGGTACGGCTTACAATTTAATTGAAATTTGATCTTATTTTTAGAAAATAAAATATGTTACTGTTCACAATGACAAGTACAGTCAACATCGCGTCAGGTTACAATAAAAGGCCGAATTTATCCAATAGATTTAAAGCCTCAATCCATTGTTTAGTTACATTCCATACTTTAGTTCAAATTTACTCAGGTTTTATAATATTTTTGTAGTAACCTGGTAAGTATACACAGTATACATAAAAGAAAAATCATCATGAACGTGAATCAATTGCCTAACAAATAGTAAACAATTCTCATTACCGAATAATAAAAAACCGCAGAATACATAGTTTAACGGAAATTTAAAAAATTTAAATACTCCCAACTAACTCATTCTGATAAAAACAGCCACACCAATGTACATTTTCTTCGACGACCTCCAATTTGACCATTTCTAGCCTCACATGTGACTTGGTTATTTAAATGTGGTCCCAAATTTTCTTTCTTCTGGTAAACACGATAAAATTATACACAATGTTCTCTCCGATAAGGTCAGACGTTCAATAACGAGTCACATCTAAAATCGGCGCGGGCTCATTATTGAGACATTAGCATACGAATAAGACATTCTCCACGCACTAACGTTTGTTATTATCAATAATCACTAGTTTCGGTATAGCTGGTTTGTAACAATTAGTTTAAAATTGCTTTTCTTACGGCAAAGGGAAACTTGTTCTAAGTTATTAATACTGTGACAAAAGTAGTTTGGCATTTTTATTTTTAGTAAAATTTTAGATTTTTTTTCAATATAAGAATCTATGAAGGACTTTATAGAAATTTTGATTAAATTAAACAGGAAATATACTGAGCTAACATCCTATAAATGGCAACCTATAGTGAATGAACCCTGTAATGGAAATTAGGCATATGCAAATCAGTTTAATTACGAAGTATCAATTTATTATACGAATAATGCATGCAATCCAAAATAATATCTTATTTCATCTATTAATTGAAAATGAAATTCAATGAAAGATACTTTTTCTTACAAACAGTTTTGAATCGTCCAAATTTCCCCAACCACTCGTTCGGGACGCCTGACTGTTTAGCTGACAAGAAAAATAAACTAAAGAAACTTACCAGCTCTATCAGAAATAATGACATTTACATCAATCATGTCATTACCAAAATAGTACGTGTTAGAATAATAATAAAAACAATTACCTATGCTATTTCCTACAGATATTGAAAATTGTACCTATAATTAATCAGTATAGAACAAAGCGAAGACTATGAATTCCATGCATTGCGGTCTTTCAAATAGTTCTCAGCTTTATAATAGCCTTTGCTCATAAATATGTTCATTGCATGATTTTTAAATTTATTTACAAATAGGTCAATTAAATTTGTGGAGCTTTATTGAACATAGCAACATAGCCTTAACCCGGAAATGAAGGAATTAACGGTAAACAATTAACGATCCTTTTTTTAATCAAAAACATCAAATTTAAACAAATCATGAACTTGTTCTAAATATAATATGACAAAATACTAACACAAACGGCAGAGAATTGATTGATATTCATAAAGGTCGAGCTGACTGCCGTAATGGTTAAGCTGTTATTAGAGTTGCTGAAATTGAATTACATATGCAGATACGTTAGTCCCGACAGATTAGTTTGGTAAGCTTCAACCAACTTGCTAAGTGTACTTGACGACTTAATTCCCGAGGGCCTATGAGTCTACGGCCGTTTCAAATAATTGGAACCGACACTTAAACAAGCGGCCGAGTTTTGCAAACAATGATTGAATTTAAATCGAGAGCAAAACCATAGAATATCTGAACGTACAGTTATTATATTGAATGAGTCAAACGAGTAAACATTTTTTTATAAAATTTTAATAATAATTTTAATCGATGTTGAACCTGAAGCAAATAATATCATAATTACTTGGGATAGTGACAATTCAATTATATGTGGTATACTATTTTATTTGACATTATATTATTTTAAAATTATTTAGTATTGAGATAAGATTAGTCGTCATTTGCTTCCTATTGTGGTAAAACAAAACTAGTTATTTCTGTGAGTACTTCAATATTTTTTGTATGTATTCCGTCAATAGTGCATCTTTTTGTTTGAATATTCCCATGGTATGAATTTGTATATTTTTATTTACTTTTAAACGTATAAGTTCGCACCTCGTTTGTCAATAAGAATACGAAGAATTTTTACTCATTTCTTAAAAAACGAAATAATAAGTTGTTCTCACCACAAATAACATTACAAATTTATAGGTAATATTGTTTTGCGTATAGAATTCATTACTTTATTACAAAAATTAGAGGGCACCCTATGGGATGGTATGCCGAGTTATTGTTATGGATGAAATTAGGTAATATTCACATTGATGAAACTCTTACTTTTGTCCATCCTTCCCGAGGTTTAAAGAGCTCGTCCTTATGGCTTGCCGTCGGTGCGCCGTGTGACCGGGCGACTTCTGCACCTCTCTCAATATTTCAGGGTCTGGCTTCAGTTCTACGGGCGATGGAGGCTCTACGTATACCTGAAAATAATAAGCCACATTGACGGTTAAGATTCATATTATAAGGTATATGTTCTTTTATGTTTCAATTACTTTTTAAATATATAGCAAAGCAAATTGCTAATGGTTTTTCAAAACTTGTTTTATCAAAATGATCTAATATTGATTAAAATTAACGTCCATCTTGTCAGTAATAGCAATAATCTAATTATGAATACTTTAAAAAGAAAATAATAATGTGAAACTTACCTCCGTGTTATGATGAGTATTATGGTCCTTATAATAATTGTGTCTCCAACTAGCCGGCTGACATTCAGAGTCACTTAACGCACTAGAGTCATCATTTTTAACTCCTCTGTGGAAAATTCTTTTCGCTCGTCCCAATTTAGACTTCGAGCTTTTATTACTGGATCCCATACTTCCGTCTGATGCATAACTTGAGCTGTCATCGCCAAAGGGAGGATTCAAGATGAACGATTGTTCTATAGATGCGATGGGTGCGATAGGTGATGGGGGCATTATCGTCATAGGAGAAGGAGGCTGAGTCCTAATAGCGGGAGCGTGAGCCGGAGAACTGGTGAAATCCGGAAACGGAAAGGCGGTTGGTGTCGTAGGAGTCATGTCGATATAGTTTAACTCTGGATATCTGTCTGCTTGGGCGTCTAGGAAATGTGGTGAGGAAACGATCACTTCTGCACGATTTTGTCGTTTTCTTCTTCTGGTTTTGAGGGATTCCACTCTTCTGAGTAACGCTTTAGCACCGTCTCGGAGGCGTTCGGAACCGGTTCGTCTAAACCGAGTACCGGTGTCCTCTTCATCTTCTTTGTCGCTTGGTAACTGGATCATTGGCTGGCCAGGAATCGTTAGTCTGAAAACAAGCAAACATTTTTGTCATGTTTTGACTTCAAAATATTTTGCACGATGTAAAAAATAACCTCAACTAATGTAGGATTTAACAAAATTACTTACAAAACTAGCAGTTCTTTCAAAATAACTTGCCTACTATGCCATGTACGCAATGTACTGACAACGTGAAGATATTATTACACCCATTACCCGATAGTCAATAGTTATCGCAACTTTTCAACTTGGGATAGCGAAGTGGCAAGTTTGAAATGACTTGACAACTTAATCGACAACTATTACTTTGTTATATTTCACAGCTGAGCTTCTGAGTTACAATATTAGCCTAGTCCGGATAAAGGACGTGACCTACGCAAACTTCATCTATGAATAGAAAAGGTTTCATTTGTGTTTGACTCGATTAAGGGCATATAGTGCGTATTCAAATTTACATGATCAAGGGTGTAAATAGTTTATGAGTTATTTAACTGATGAAATAAACATGATAGAGCTTCAAGAGATCAATGATGAGTCTGATTTAAATGGACTTTATCTTGAAAATAATCTGTATCTACTCTATAGTCTTTCTCATAAAGGAAGAATAAGGGCAGCCATATAGTGTGTAGCAGATACAATAATTCAAAGTGTGCGAAATACAGTGTTCCAAAGATATTTAGATCGTCAGGTGTTATCACAGTATACGCTGTGGTATTATTTTAAATAGAAATTTATTTTTATATGAAAATAAGATTCAAGTTTTCATAAGTACCGTTGTATTAATTTTACATTGACTTTCTAAATAAATAGATATATGATAATTATTATAAAATTACAAACAAATATGATATATAAATAAAAAAATACTGGCTATTCTAGTAAAAAATAAGATTCGTCGATAATGCATCATAATCTGTTCAGTATCCAGTTTAGCGTCAGTTAGTTAAGCAAATTAGTTTACGAACCATAAAATGTGGCAATGTTTACGTATTCTTGAGTGTTTACATATAATCGTAAAACTTTGTACACCGTCAGGTGGAGGCAATAAGTTTACAAAGTAACATTTGAAACACGTGGTGTTATTGAACTCATAAATGTTGCTAATAAGCTTAGAACACTGACGATAACCATAAACGAATATAAAAAACTATCCTATTGAAATAAACAGTACTATTTATATATAAATTTATTATCATGGAACAAAAGGTCTAAAAGTTTTATGTAATATATTAGAGTACATTACTTCAAAGTGAATTTAATAATTTAGGGATTATAAACCATAAAATATTCAAATTATTTTGTGTACGTAGCATATTTTCATTTAATTTTAGCTAGCTTTCTGCCAGCGGCTGCTCCCCCTAGAGAACCGTTTGGTGGAATAGAGCCTTTATGTTAATTCTGGTTTATAATTAAATCCATTTAGTAGTTTTTGCGTGAAAGAGTAACAAACATATATTCATCCTCCCTCGCAAACTTTCGCTTTTATAATATTAGTAAGATTAGAACAAAAAATGTCACTTTTATTAGGTTTTTTCGAGTCTCTTATTTTGGGTGAATTTTTAAACCAAAACCACAAAGTCCATGGCATTTGAAGTAAATACAGCTGTTATACAAAAATAATATTTGTTTTATTAGACTCTAACCCTGTGAATGTGTCATGGACATTATTTACGCACACACGTATTAATTACCCTGCTAATAACATCACCGATTTTAATGAGTGTGACAGAAGCGCACCTACAGCAGCTTTTTAAAATAAAATAAAAAATGGTAAACATCATTAATCTTATACGAACACTAAATTTCTAGGTTTAAACTATAGAACGCTTAAAACCGTCTAAATTGTCAATGACAGAAGAGCGACTTCCTCTCCATTACTTATTTTACTGGATAAGGGTTTAATATTATACGAGAAATAATGTAATTTATTAACATTCATCAATTTTAAATAAAATTGTTTTTAAAATTAATTAATGAAAATCCAACCCGTCAAAAGTTTGGCAACCGATATCATAAACTTTATGCATTATTATTAAACGAGGACTAACTCTAGTGCCAAGTTTAACAACTGAGACATAAAAAATATTTATAAAACCAGTAATAGCATTTCTATAGGTACTAATACTAATATAATATTCATTTAAAATTGTGAATCTGAGGAGCTAGATGGCGCACTAGTTAGCGCGTTGAGTCTGCTATGTGGAGGTCAACTAACTTTTGCAAGTGTCAGTGATGAGTGATCAAAAATGTATGATCTCGAGTTCCTCCGTGCCTCGCAAGACATGTAAGCGGTTAGTTTTGCCAATTACCAATACAAATCCGCACTGGATCAGAGCGGGGGATCATCAAGTAACGTAATTGAAAATAACTTGACTGAAAAGTTTTTCTTTACATGCCCACTGGGTTTATTTTCACAAGACTCAAGTTTATTTTTCAACTAGCTGCATGGGACCAGATATTTGTTTAGGTGTGTAAGTTTAGGCCTAATCTTCTGAACTTCTCGTGGGTCAATTACATTTGAAAATACTTTGATACTCTACAGAAGTTTCATTACTGTTCTACTTTTTAAATTTCTACGATTGCTTGCCATTTTTACTCGACTAAAATGTAATTAAAAGAAGGTTTTATATTTAGATAACTTCTAAACTCGTAATTTAACAAATGAGCTTGATTATGTTATAGATTATTATAAGCAGTTTTCCCGCTTCAATAGGAGCCTTATGTCACCAGAGTGTGATGTACAATAGTTTACATAAAAGTCAAATGTTTTCTGTTTATAATATAAGTACATATAGATTGCTTGAATTAAAAATAAAAAAACATAATTTTTCACACATTCCAAATTCATTTGCGATGTCTGTTGTTTTCATTTAATTGTCATAGTAAAAATATTCACACTAAAATAGCAACTTTAATACACGGTTTGAAATAAACAATTTCAATATTTATAATTTTCTAAACAAACCAAACTTTTCTCAATGTTAAGTACATTGAGAAAAGTTTGTACATTGGGACAGGTTTTTGTTCAAAATACTTAACTATCCAAAATAAATTATTGGACAAACATGAAAGGTCTTCACCGTGCTAGTTTCTGCTCCAGATTCCACAAAGTAAAACGAACAAGAGTTTTAATTAAGAATAATAAAAGCCTACTTTCTTTGGGTTTGTTTTGTTAACTCGTTTACGTTCTAGTGAGTGCTTTTTCGCGTAGTAACAATTATAATTAATCTTGCATTAGTACTTTCCGCTTTTAAAAACGGAACGCCCTTTATTTGGGTTATTCGGTTGACGTAAGTCGTGTTGGGGTATGGTCCCTCTGACAGCGATTGGTTTCAAATTTTAAAAGCACTTTTATTAACATAAAATCTTGTAAACTATTATATTAAAACGTATTTTTCAAATACTAGCTGTACTCGGGTTACTTCGCACGCGTTATTATAGCTTCAGCTGTTAACCGCGAATGATGTAGCTACCCATGGATAAAATAATTTTAAAAACGATCCAGTAATTTTGAAGCCTATTCGAAGCAAACAAACAAACGAACAACCTAATCTATCCGCTTTATAATATTAGTATATTAGATAATGCACTAGATTTGCAAACATATAACTTCGTCCATGAGAATTTAATGTTTAAAATTTGATGTGTTGGAAACAAAAGTAGCTTACATCCTTAAGCTACGACATTATCAGATTTTACTATAATCTGGCGCGTAAAAGTGACAGTCTGAATTTTTTCGACATTATTAAGGACTTGAGCGTAAAACCGAAAGCAAAAGTATTTTAAAATAAATACCTTCGATCCTACACTTTTAAGAGTTTATTAATAATCGAAGGTCTTAATATTGTACAGGTATATGCGCCAACATCGACACACTTGGACGATGAGGTCGAGAATTTATACGAAAATATCATCAATCATCATCATCAGCCCTTTTACTTCCCCACTGCAGGGGCTCAGGCCTTCCTTATGGATGGTTAAGGAGGATGGGCCATGGCCCTCCACGCGAGCCCAATGCGGATTGGAAGGCAATACATACTACCATCAAGACCCACTTCACCGTTGTCATGGGAGATTTCAATAAATGGGAGGAATCACATATTGGACCACAAGGCTATGAGACACAGAGGGCTAATGCTAGTCAACTTCCTCAACAAGGAGAGGCTCTTCTGTATGAACAGTTTATGAACATGATAGATTTTATCATGTCAGACAAGAAGCGCAAATTGAGGGATGTCTCTGTGGTCAATAGGTTTGATACCGGAAGTGATCACCAACTTGTAAGAGCTACCCTAAATATTAATTGTAAGCTAGAGAGAACCCGCATGACGGTATCTGTTCTCCGTCCAACATTGCTCGAAGCCGAATATGGTTCCCAAGCGTTCTGTTTAGAACTAAGCAACAGATTCGCCGCATTGCAAACCAAGGCAAATGTTGGGATTGTACGCGAAGTGGGAAATAGGCATTTTAAGGAAAAGCGAGTAAGTCGAAAGTCCAAACTTTCTAGCGAGACATTGAAACTGATGAAACTTTGTCGAGAAATATCGTCCCACCCAAAGTCTTCTTTCAATGCAAAAAAGTAAAACCGCCAAACAAGACCCATTCAGTTGCTTAGAGGTGTGAGATAGGGGGATGTTCACTAACGCACTGGAGGATATCTTCAAGACCCTGGAGTGGAAAGGACTTGGCATTAATGTTAACGGTGAATATCTCACGCATCTATGCTTTCTGATGACATTATAATTATGGCAGAATTGCTGCAGGACCTGAAAAAAATGCTGCACAGTCTCAATGCTGTCACGAGACATGTGGGTCTCGGGATGAATTTGGACAAAACTAAAATCATGTTTAACACACAAATCATCCCAGAACCCGTTTTCGTTGATGGTGTATCGCTCGAAGTTGTCCAGAAATACATCTATCTACCTAGGGCTCTAATACTGCGGTTGGGTAGAGACAACTCCGAGTGAGAAGAGTGCAGCTGGGCTGGGCAGCATTTGGAAAGCTGCGTAATATCTTTTCGTCCACCCTGCCACAATGCCTGAAGACCCGGGTGTTTAATCAATGCGTCCTACCAGTCACGGGTAGGACGCATTGATTAACCTATGGGGCCGAAACGTGGAACATGACAGTGAAGTTGGCCCACCGACTACATGTCGCTCAGCGAGCTATGGAAAGGTCTATGCTCGGAGTCTTTCTGAGGGATAAAATCCAGAATGAGGTCATCCGGCGGAGGACTAAAGTGATGAATGTTATACAGAAATGTAGCAAGCTGAAGTGGCAGTGGGCTGGCCACATCTGTCGCAGAACCGGAGAAAGGTGGAGCAGACGGGTTCTCGAACGGAAACTACGCCTCGGCAAACTCCCCCCGGCAGGTTGGACTGACGACCTCAAAAAGGTATCCGGGAGTGGCTGGATGAAGAAAGCGGGTAATCGTGTTTTGTGGCGCACTCTGGGGGAGGCCTACGTCCAGCAGTGGACTGCAACAGGCTGATATGATGTTTATTAATAATCGAGGAACAAATTAATTATTATTTATTATTAACGTTATTAATTTATTTATTGTTAGCGTTACAAATTACGTGCTATATAAATTAGGATTTCTTTCAATAATATTTTTAGGACTTAAATTTATCTCTTTCCGCTTTCACTAGCACCATGCGTCTACTAATAGCCTATCATTATATCTTATGGTTTAGCAATCCAAAATGGAAACGTGATAGGTGAAGGGATAAGTACCCGAATTGTAAGTAGAACAAATGGCTGGTTGATTATAGGCATTGTGGCGAGGGCACCAGCTAACTGTACCACTTCTTTGTCAATGTCGGCTTGAGTGCCCTTTGTTTACTGAACCAATGGCTCAATCAGGCAATTGCATTTGCTTGTTTCACTATTAACATTTCAATATTAAGAAGACGAAGGGAACTCGATATAAAAGCCGTATTTCTATGTTGATTAATTTTTCAATCGCAGCTGGCATTTTTCAATAGCAAGTGTTGAAATGTAGGGATGTGTAACGTTTTGGCTATTCGAAATAATTTATAATCTGCTTAATGTCAGAAATTTGCAAAAGAATCTAATTTTCCATATTTACCTTTATATATGATACACCCACCAACCGACACGTGGATGAGCCCATGTGGCGGATTAAGACTCCCTATGTGCTGATATTTATATTATCAGATATTTAATACTGATATATACTGATATATACTGATATATATATATTATTAATTATATTCAATTTTCATGTACACCGTTTGATTTCAGAATATCTATTTTAACCTTCTACAATACAAAAATATAATCTTTTGAAGGCTTTCGAACGGTCACTAAACTTAAAACTCCATGATAAAACACGAGATTGCACTTAAATAATCACAAAATGATTTTACATTAATGAAAAAAAAAACAAGAGAAATCTTTTAAATGAAATTGAACGGAAGTGAAAAATAAAATACAGAACATCCAACATGACATGACGTTATCATTTCTAAAAGCGAATGAAGGGCTTACGGTAAGCCCATTAAAATGTGTAATCGTTAACATCCGTACAATAAACAGTTTTAAACACTTCAATAATGACATTGACACTCCCACTGTGTCAGATGTCAAGAAAGCATTACATACCACAACTGATAATTACCAAACAGCTACCACTAGAACCAGAGCCCTTGTTAGTGCTGCAGTTATGGAAATTTATATAGATGTAAAGATACGCTGAGGTCTACTAACGATTGATGTGGATAAAATAAAGACGAGTTTTTTATCGACTCTGTCGATCGTTTGTGCAATAGAAGGCCAATTATTTGGGTGTGAACCTCTCATACTCGATTAACATGCTAGTTTCTAAGATTAGGAGCATAAAAGCGGTCTTATTAATTTCTTTGTCTGCATATTGATTGATGGGATGAAGAGGATTGAATTTTAATTCAAAAGATTTATATACTTCAAAGGTGTATTTAATAAGAGCCGGGATGTGGATGCTGATGAATGAGTGATTGTTAATGAAAATGATGACTTGTGATATTTAATTTAGGGTTGAGGTATTTGAGACGTTGATTTTTATTAATGTTACTATTTAAATAAATTACAACTAGAATCTTTTAAATAATTCAGATAAAACACAAACAAAATATATTGATTTTATACTTATCGAGGAATACGATTAACAAAAGCCTAGCAATTATTTGTTTCGAACAACCTAACTTACGAAACTTTTACACATGTGTCTGATGAAAGTAATGTCTCATTAAAAGTTACCGTTCTTTTTGTCGCTTGTTTCTTTCATTTTGGGCTGTTAGAATTATTATATTTCTCGCTTTCATATCGCAGGATGAAATAATTTCATTATCTCGGCACTTAACATTTTGAGTATCTATGAAATCAATGTGAGTATATGATATCGATGTGAGTCTTTGAACGTTTGAGCATATTAGTGAGTGTCTGTTTGAGAGTGACGGTGACGCCGATGTCAGTGTCTGTGACATCGATGCGAATGTCAGTGTGAATGTCTGAAAGTGTCAGTGCGGTCGATGTGAGTATTTTTATGACCGTCGAGTGTCTACAATCCAGTAAAATTTTATTACATTTATTAAAAGAATGTCAAGTTCGCGATGATTCTAGAACAGGTGTGCGTGAATGGTAACTTAGTGAAAAATTGCTACGGGCATCGACGTAAAGGACTCTAAAGAATAGATCAAAATATCTGCCAATGACATCCACCCGTAAAACTTCAGTTACTGTGAAGCGCTGCAATAATGGGCACTTGATAAAAATAAGATACACGGTATCCCGTAATCCCGTAAATAACTATTATTTTAATGTATACTCTCTTAAACTATAATACAATAAGTTTACTTCTGTTATCGTAATTATTTACTGAATTAAAAATGTAGTTTTACAGAACTAAAGCTTTTGTTTAGTTTGTGTAACAGAATGAATACCAAAGTTTGAATAACAACATAACAATACTAGTAATGATGTCTGGTATATATACTTACAAATCAGGTTCAACGTCTGTGTAGTGGCCTTCTGAGTCCACCAGGCCCACCCTGATGGTGGGCAGTGAATCGTCTTCATCATCTTCTAATTCCCCCCTCGCTTCTCTTGCCTCCCTCTCTGCTAATGCCCTAGCTGCTATCACCTAGGATTTTTAACATTTTGAGTTATAGATGTTTAGTCTCTTTGCTTATTTTTTGTTATTTTAATTTAAAATGTTTAAAAATACGTAATAACATATTTACATATGTTTATATAGTCTTACGTGGTTCTTCTTTGAATGATTTTGCTTTTAATCACACCACAACAATTCATACACAAATGTCATAACCTTAATTGTCTTTACACGCATCATGACAACTGTTATAACCCAGCAAACAATGCGACGTGATTTGTAAATATTTAATGGTTATTAAGATATCAAGCATTACACACCGAAACAAATAAAAAAAACGCATAAAAATCTTGGCTTTCTTGAGCCACAAATATTGTAACTAACGCAAACTTTGTGATTTGTTATGTAAAGTTGTAAACATTTTATTTATAATATGTGCCGATAGATCATAAAATATCGGCTCTTATAAATATAAGGATAATTTATAATATTTCTATAAGATCGTATGTTTGTTTAACTACTGATGATGGCTACAATTTAAATGTGACATATAGATATTGAGTACCTGTAATCTACGTTGCGCTTGCGGCGTGATCTCGACTACCCGCGACCATCGCCGTGATTTGCGCTCGTATTGCCATTTGTCGCTCAACGCACATTGCTCATCATCTGAGTCGTTCTGTGGACAATATTATAAATTAATCAAAAGAATAATCGTTTATCAACACTATAAAAAATGAATATTCTAAAGAACCGCCAAAAACATGATGTGTCTTTCTACAGTTTTTTATAACTGCAGTGCAATCAACGATATATATTAAAAACAAATACTAATCAGTATTATTCTCACGAAAACTACTTATAGTTTATTATATTATATCAGAAATATATCAGAACCAAAACAATAGCCTCCGTCATAAGTGCTCTTGTTCGTATATAGTAAACTCTGCTATTTCCAACAATGGAAGATTCCAGTCATTTACTGACTGGCAATATCTCGGAAGCTTTGTTCGCACCACCTGACGTCATTACTCGGGAGTTTTCTTTGAGACGAATATTATCGGAAACATTGACGAAACCGAGAATAAAATTTTACTTGGATTTAGAGGTATGTTTTATCTGATTTAACAAGAAATCTTCAAGGTTCAACGGTAAATATTAACAAACGGTTTATTGTAATGTTAATATCCGTTGGAACGAGACTGAATGTCAACTCGAACTTGTGTATTTATGGAGAGTCCGCGATTTCCTTTTAACGTCTTGGAATATTGTTAAATTGAAACTGGGGCGGGGAAGTTGTCCATAATTGGATTCTTTGTTTGATTGATCATTTTGTTTTACCTATAAGCTTTCTAAGCTTTCTTTACTATTTCTACTTTATATTGAATCTGTTTATTTAATAGAATAATACTTTTTTGCTGAATTAATTATTGATCTGTTTTATGTATATATGCAGATTGATGTCTAAGCATTCTTTACCAGTGAACCTTAAAATGATGTGGACCTTAAAGACAGGTGGTAGTAGTTGCCGTTGAATTCGCCTTTTATACCACATTAAACGCTCTTTAATTCTTTAAAAGAGTGACTAAAAAATAAGCCCTCTAGTTTTAATCAGTGTGGACATATAACGTTTTTGTTTTAGTAAATGATCCAACTAACCAATTGGAACTTCTAACCTCCTGCTGATGAGGTCACTGAGAACGAAAGTACACTTTGTGTGTTTATGAAAGAAACCAATCAAGATATTCAATTCTCTTGCGTAGGGGTTAAGGGATCTAAGGCAATTACAAGTACTAGTACGATCCAACGCCTGTTTAGTTTAATAGATTGCGACTTTCAATAGCCATATTACTGAAATTTTATATATGAGAATAAGATTAGTCTTAAGTAGATACATAAAGAATACAAAGAAAATAAGTAGTATACTACTTGAGCGTGTGGCGTTCTTGAAAAAACTTTAACTATTTCGTGATTTGAAATGTCCTCGACATCTATTTGGTATTTAAGGAAAGTATTTTAGTTGGGTAAGATGTGGTAAAGATAATTATAATAATCAGTTAGCTGCTACTTGATAAATTTAATAACTTCTACTTCGTGAACAAGTTTTAGACAAGAATTTAGAAGTTAGACAGTTTCAACCTACAACATGAATAGGTATTGATTTATTAATGACATCTATTATAAATTTATAACCAACGAACGTGAAACTTAATGCCAGTGGTTCTACCGTGTCACTGAGGACCTGATTGATACGTCAATACAATGCCCTGGATAATATGTCAGCTTTGGCCGCTCCTAAGATCAGTGCTGATTATTCAGGGCTTTAGGTACATAGTAGAGTCGCAGCTAATATAATATGAACGAGGGAGTTTTTTAATTTAGTGCTCCACATCCATTGATAGCATAGAATATAGTCACTACCTGCTATCTGTACGCTGAGATCTTTTCAATTGCACAATGGATTTTAATGCGGTTTTTATACAGTGATTCAAGAGAAAGACTCTATGTATAATACAGTATACACGCTTTATACATACGCACACTCGGACGAAACCTCTTTAGTTTCGTCCTGTTTTGTCCAATAGCTCGGCATAATTTTGTCCAATAATCTTGTTTGCAAATCCAATGCAAACACAGATTATTGGACAAAATTATGCCGAACAAATAAACTAAACATCTCCTTTTCTAAGACTTTCCATATGTTCATTTTTTTTTATTATATAGATATTTAATATGTTTAGTGTTCTTAATGAATTTAATGAATAATTTAAAATATAATTTTTTTTTCGTTTTTATTAAACCTTTAAAAAATTATAAATAATACTTATCACGACTTATTGAATTTTGTCAGTATGTTTTTTAAATGAAAGAGAATTTTGTCTAATAATTGTCTAATCAGATTGAACCAAATTAATTATTTTTATTAAATTAATACTTAATAGTTTATGTCGATCAAATAACCTGTACGTGTTCATAACATGCATAGTTAAGTGATTGGACATTTTAACTTTAGTCATTAATGATTTCAATGACCGAAGCTAATTAAATACGTTCCGCTTATTACAAATATAGTATTATTATAAATTACACTCTAATTTATTACATGAGAAGGTCAATGTTTTACCGTCTCTTTCCTTCGGTTTTAAATGAAAGAGACCAAGATGGCATCAATCATGATTTGACAGCAAAATTGAGGCAATAATTTACTAGTTTAAGTTTAATTTGTAATGATGACTGTTTGTTTTATTAGTATTTACTATAATATAACTGTGTGATGGGTAATTTATTATATTATTTATATAGTTTACATTTTATATCACATTTAATTATTATCTATATAAAAGGCAAAAGTAGGTTATTATAACAATAATTTAGAAGTTTAATTTTGATATTTCATTGCATAATGATGAAATTTTAAACGGAATGCTCAGAAAATTAATAAATATTAAATAAGATTCAAATTCTGAGTTGGTGACCAAGAAGGTGTAATGATACTGTCTCGCATGTTTGATGCCCACGAGCTCATAAATAAGGACTGATTAACGAAATAAACCAAGAAAATAGGAACAGGCATCTCAGTGCGGCAAGTACATATCTAATGATGTAATTAATCGAACAGTTGAATGGAACCGATCTAAGTCACGTGACTCTTCTTATGAATATATAATTATTTTTTGGCATGGTTTTTGTAAATGTCATTACTCCTATGTGAGTGCCACGCTGGTGAGTTTCTTGCTCGTTCTTCTTATCAGCCAAAAGACGTCCTGAACGAGCGGTAGGGAAAAAATGTTGGACGATTCAAAAGTACTTTTAAGAAGTCTATTTGAATAAAGATTATTTTGACTTTGACTTTGACATATTCCAAGTGAAGACGATCTGGACAAGCGACAATAGTCAATTAAACAATACAGCTACCGATATCGATTATAAATTTTCAAAATATGTTGCTTAACATACGAATTTTTTAAGATAAGAACTTTTTAAAAATAAATTTGTTGTATGTTCTTTTGGACCAGAGGTCAAGTAGAGATAAATCAAACGAGGCTAAACTTGAGGGGGTTGCGTTACTTTTAATTGGAAGGATCCCATTTATGTAGAACTACCTTGTGGCTTCATCATCAGATCTACTTTATCGCATATCTTGTATAGATAAATCAAATTAGCCTAAATTCAACGACGTTACTTCGTTTAATCGAATAAGGTATCTATTATATGGCTACTTTCTGGCTTTTTCATCAAATCAGCTCAACTCTATATTGCATATGAGAGGGGACTGATTATATAGTAGATAAAAATGTTTGGACTTGAGGTGTTTTTGCCATTTTAGATCTAGTGGCCTATTTGATGCAATGCAAATATGCAAAAAAAATAAACATTAAACTCCAAACCTAATTTTTTCGTTATATATATATTTTTTTTTATATAAACTTCCACGATCTACAAGATAGCGACCTTCCATGTTCGCCCCATGGGTTTTTATCTCATACTATTTGCCCGTTTAAATTTATTAAATATATCAAACAGCATCGTTTATCAAATTTAAAAGTCAAAGCACAAATTGAAAAAGGCAATCAGCGACGAAATAAAATTTTAACAAATTAATCTGTGTATGGCCATTAATGCGACAGCTACCCATGTTTAAAAGCTTTTAATATAAATCGAGCCATCAAAGGTTCAATAGGACCTCGAAGGGCGATTAATTTTCGTTATAAATTTCTTTCTAAACCTTATTTGCTGTATCAAAAATAATATTAGTTTTATTACCGCTTTAAATGACTATTTAGGCTACCCAGGGGTGTATTTTGTTGAAATGCCAAAAACACTATACATTCATTTTTGGTTTATTTGCATAAAAAATTTAATATATTTTTTTTTTAAACATTTTTTGAAGTCGGTTTTGACTTAAATAGAAGTTTCTTGAATGGCTTTTACTTTTATTGATCTTTTTTGAAGTGATTTTAATATTTCTTTTTAAACCTAAAAACTTTTTAACGAGCTCACTTTTAAGAATGGATATGCTGACCCTACCGGTCCGACTTCACACTAAAATCTTTCAAACTTTTGTATACAGTAATTGGATTCATATTGTAATATACGATGCAAACCAGGACGGTGTAATATTATGGAAAGTTTTTGAACTCGCACAGACAATATAAGCGAATATGAGAAGTTGCCAAGCTCCTGTTTTAATAATACCTAATTATGTTCGCACAGGAGCCAGTGAATATGAAGCGTGGATATTACCATAATGAACATAGAATAATATTTATTAAAAGTGTAAAAAGAAACGATGCGGTTGTTTTTAAGAATTTATTAATAAAACAATAAATGGAAAGTCCAAAAGATATTACCCATCATGATCATCATCGCTGGGGCTGGATGCGCCTGTGTTGATTGCTTAGGAGACAAGGTAGTCTCAATTCGGCACTGCTTACAAGTAACAAGCAACTTGCCGTGTGTGTTCTTTTGGTACTCTTGCTGGTTTCTAATTGAGCGGAAATTGCGCATACTTAAATAACTTGCACAACATGCAATGGAGCTGATCTTATGATGGAGTCGCTACCATGGCTACCTGACCTTTGTAAGTAAACAAAGCAATCCCAGCGAATTCGAGTTATCAGAACATAGATAAAAAATATTATTCTAGAAAGTAATTATGAAATGAGTAGATTTGGAAACT